GTAGTCAAACCGATTAGGCGTGTGGAAAATGATGCAGATCCTGAACACCCGTGACCACCTTTAGGCGTGATAGTCATAATTCCAGTTCATTACTCAAAAAGTTGAGAGAACATGCTATGATATTGATTAATTTAGGACTTAATTTTCGTTACAGAAAGCCGGTTTTTACGTGTACTGCATGGCAAAGCTAAAATTGTGTTGTATATTCCATGTGAAGTCCTGCTGCCTAATTTTTCAGTGTATATTTTGTTGATTTTTTTGCTTCTTTTGTAAACTATAACTTGTTGATCCTTCCCTATTTTTTCTTTACTTGTCTTGGATGGCTTACTCATTGACGAGTTTCTGAAAGTGAACATATTTATACCTCTTCTCATGAAGGGCTTAGCTCTTAAATGTTTTCTTAATAATTGAAACTCAAATATATGACTTCTACATTTTTTAATTTATGACTGTTATTTTAAATTTTGATCAGGAGGAGTTGTGGTTCAACAAGCATCACAAAAACGATCATCTCATCGATAGAAAAGGTAATTCATTTTCTTTTACTTTTTTAATTCAATAAATGTAATTTTAGATTTTGAAAATCTTTGAGACAAAAAGAAAACATGTGATATGAAGTGGAAAAGGACACATAAAAGAAAAAAAAAAAAAGGACACAAGGAAATGAATGTGTATCAACAGTAACATGTAGTGAATCTAATTCCCAGTATTTCTGGATATTTTGCTGGTGGGCTCATAGCTTAAAGCTGCTGCTTTTTTTTTTTTTTATATAAACTTCAACCTTTATTTTACCTTGAGAAAAAGTGAGTTTGCCTAGTGAAGAATTATTAATGGTAAATACTAGGAAGAAAATGTAAATATTATTGTAAATAGAATCATTATTTAAAAGGAAATGTTTATAAGAAAAATCTAAAATTATGTAAGAGACATACTAAATAACCTTGTGAAAGCTAGTCTTGAGGTTGCTTTTGAGCCAAATGCGTTCTTGCCTGTGCCTATTGATGATGAAGCGTTGATAACAGTTCGAGATGCAATAGGAACTTTTGTGGCGTGGCCAAAGAATCTCGTTTCTGTAAATAAATCGGTATGTGCAAACAAATAAATCTCCTTTTTTATTTTTTAAATATATAATATATGTATGTCATTTATTACACTTGGAAAAAAATATAGATCTCAGACAATCTCCAGAATAAGGGAACCAAAAAGTACTCTATAGTTCCAAAAGGTAATGGGGAAGAAAACCGTACAAAAGGATCTAATGAAGTTGATACTGCGAGGAACGGGTCATATTGTAGCTATCTTACTATGCATGTCCAATTGCTCATGAGACCTAGTGATTTATTACCAAGCATAATGATGGCCAAAGAGACATTTGGTGTATCATTTGAAGAGAAGCTTGGTGTAGATGAAATAAATCACGTTGTTATGCATCAATGGATTGGTGTCTCTGTTGTCTGTACATATATCAGGTACATTTCGACTTTTATTGGTTAATTTTATAGGTGGGCATATTCTTTTGGCAAGTAATAATCTTTTGTATGTTTATGTAAGATACTTGTACGAGAAGTTTATGGTCCATAAGCAATTATCGAAGAGGTTCTTCTTCTTATCCCCCCATGTAACAAGCTTTCTAGTTAAAAAGGACGAGCAAATAAAAGCAATTGTTGATTTGCTTGTTAATAATAATGCAAAGGATAAGTTGGTTCTTGCGCCATATAATACATCGTAAGTCTTCTTCTATCCATATATATATATATATATATATATATATATATATATATATATATTGTTAAAGTTTCTGTAAAACTTAATACTAAATGTAATATCAAATGTTTACTTTTTTTATAGGGTCCACTGGGTGTTGTTGGCTATTAATTTGAAGACAGAGACGATATATCATTTAGATCCTATGCACAAGGATCCTGATCTACATATGACAGATGTGTTTAACACGTAAGTATATGTGGTTGTTATGGTGTGTTTGTTTTTTGTTGTTTTTCTAGTAAGTCTATGGTCTTTCTGTTTTTACTAGCGTATTACGAGTTTTTCGGGCTCAAGTCGCGGTGGTCTCCAAAAAATCAAAATTACACTTAAGATGGAAAAATATTAAGGTACTTCAACCTGTTATTTGTTGTTGATGTTGATCTATATATGTTCGTACTAACAAATACTTGTTTCTTTCAGTGTCCCAAACAAGCTAACAGTGTGGATTGTGGTTATTACGTTTTGAAATTTATTAAAGACATAATTATTTCGGATGAAATGATAATCACAGATGAGGTAAATGAATTTAAGATCATTTTCATGTCATTCCATTACCTCATTTTTATTTTTATTTTTTTGATATTTTGGTTAAAATATAATTATTAATGTTATCTTTTGTAGTATTATCCTAATTACAAGTGCGTTCAATTATCTGAGGAGCAAGTAGATGAAGTTCGGGAAGAATGGGCAAAATATGTTATTCAGAGTTGTGTATGATAATAACTCTACTAGTGTCGATTCGTTTGTTGTTATGGTTGTGTTAAATTATAAATTTGTTACGAAATATGATTAATAGATAGTGATTGATATGTTTCTTTTCATTTTTTAATTCTGGCAGATACATGTGCATTCTCTTCCTACTTAACAGGTATGTATTTTGTTATACTCCTATTACATTTTCTTTTATATCTTGTTTATAATATGTGATGAATGACTTAACTTTGATATCAATATATGTATAATTTTGCGATGCAGGAAGTTGCAATCAAAATTGTTTGGTCTGGCTAATGGTGGTCGAATTTCTTACTAGGAATATTAGTCTTTTTTATTCATTTATTGGAATTGGAGATTCTTTCATGATATTGTGCTACATTATTCTCTTGTAAATACACGAGCACAATGTTAAAATTGATGGATTTTGTTAGTAAATTTTTGTTATATTATGTTTGTGTTGTTTTTGTAACACCCCTCCTTATCGTTAAATCAGAGTAGCGCAAATTTCGCAAAGTTATCTAAAATAAAACCCTTTTCTTTGCGAAAACTGGTTAGGGGTGCTACCTTTTAAAAATCGTGACTTAACTTAGAAAAACCGTTATTTTAGTTTTAATAAAAACGTCCGGTTACTGAAATCATGAGTTTCTTAAAAGTTCGTCAAAACCATCAAACATCATCAAAAGTCATCAAAATATAAGCGGAAGCGTAAGTCATAATCATATTTATACAGTCCAAAATATAAATATCCGGAAGTCCCCGTCACGTCACGTCACGCTCTCGGCCCGACGTCCTGACCTGAACTGCTGAACTGAAAGGTAGTGCTGATGCCTGCTCAAACTGAAAATAATATAAACAATTACTATTGACTATGCTCAGACTGTTAATTTAACTGATTAATCTCGTTAAGATGCTCTATTTAACTTAACATGATATTTAGGCTTATCCGAAATAACCGGAACTGACTTAACCTGAACTGATTGGACATGAATTTACTGAACTGAAATAATCCCGGAAATTTAACTGAAAATGTCCTTAAAATTATAAACTGGGCTGAACACTTAAACATGAAATGAACCGGAATAAACTGAGACTGAACCGAACTAAAAATGAGACTGAACCGGTCTAAAATGGGCTGAACCGGATTAACTGAGACTGGACCGGATTAACTGAAACTGAACCGATCAGCCGGTCTGGACCAGACTGCGGTCCGACCGAACCGGCAGT